TCTTCAATGGGAATATTTCCTGAATAAGTGGTACGGGGCTAGGCCCAATAATCAGTTTTCTTACTTCACTAGTAACACATTGCAGGGGAGCTTGAGTGTGTAACACTATGTAGCCCACATAAGCAAAATATCTAAAATATTGTTTACTCTGTCTCCTTCCCCTCTTCCTCCCAAGAGTCCTTTGGGTCCTCATGGACCTATTAGTCCATTTTTCATCTGGGGTTGAAGTCCCTTCTTACAAAGCCACCCTGGTAAGTCATAGTCAACACCCTTTCAGCCAAAGAGAACCAAACAGCATTTCTGTAGAGGCTGTTAATGCCATGTTTGCAACTAGCTGTAGAGGCAGCTGTTGAACAAAGCAAGGCACTCCATCTCTCATGATCTGCACTCTCAGCCCCTGCTAACGTGCTCACTCTATGTCTAAGATTTTTAAGTAGCCCATATTGAACTATATTACAACAAATGTAGTTTTTGTAATATTAGTGAACACACTACGAAGGACGTGGCACACGAGAGATTTAAGGCACTGTTTCTAGTGTTAAAGAACTGGGGGTGTTAACTTACTGGGATGTAATGTAGGGACATGTTGTCCCAGTCTGTCATCTTTGAGCATGTGCAGCAGTGTAGTTTTTCCAGCATTGTCCAATCCAAGAAATACTAGTTTACCAGATTTCTTATACAGTCCTGTTTTAAAAAAAAAGTGTTTACTGAATATATTGATTTTATAGTGTAATATTATAACAATAAAATGCAGTACGACCAAAGGACTACAAGTTTAAATTATGACATGTAACAGAAGATTAACAATAGTATTTTCAGCTATTCTTAAGCAGAGGACTCTTCCCTATCCTGTGGGACCTCGCCTATGCTGGAAGCCCAAGATATCACCCTCAGACTGAACAGGGGATGTTTTCCTCCATTTTCTTCTCTGTCTATAACTGTTGCAAAGGAAATTGTCTTGGCAGATAAGTAAAGGAGAAAACTGGTTTTAAATATTATTTGCTGTTTTTAATTCTACACATATTCTATTACTGTTTGGTGATCTTACACATACTAAGATGTATTTAGGAGTTTGATGAATAGAGCTTGAAGACATGACAAGCCTTGCCTGACTAAGACACGCATCGATGCCTCAGGAGAGTTACAAGCTTGTGCTATCAACAGTGTATAATGCATAGATGAAATGTTTCCTGTCATGTGATAACGCTCTAATAATATGGATTAGAAGTTTTACATTTCATTAATCTTTTTAAGAACAAAATTTCCCTTTTAATTTCACCGTGTTTACGCCTCCAGTATAAACAATAACTAGAGGGGAGGAGGGAAGGGTTAAAAAGTAAGACATTTTAAAATAATAATTTTTAAATTGAGATCATCAAAGGGTGATTCTCTTAATTTATAACACTACCTCCCTCAACACTGTATCCTGGATCAGAGCTATTCTCTGCTTCTGCAAACTGTTCTATGCTAAGAATGTAGTAATCTTAAAACTAATGTCAGGTTGAAAGTCACCACCTGCTTTGAGGACCTGTAGAACATAGAATCTGCTTTAAGGGAGACCCTTACCCCCTTCAAAGAAATGTGACCTGGCCAGTCTGTTCAATACATTCTGTTAATTGCCACTGCCAGCCACACATCTGTTAGTTTTCCATTAATGTAGAACAAGGTTTAATGATAATAAAAATGGTATAAGAAGGAAGAGTGAAGTATGAATTTCAGCAAGAGAAACCTTTTTTTTAAAAAAGATAGAATTAGGCTGTTACATGTTCCTAAAGTTTGAAAATCACACACAAGTACAGAAAATTCAGCGTTAAAGTGGGTGCCATTAAGAAAAACAAATCAGCATTACTTGCGATAGCTAAATTTACCACTGCATTTCTATTACTTATTCTGTGTATAAGGAATAAGCAAGGCAACTACTGTAGTGAAGTAAATGTTTGGTTATCTAATGGTGCCCACTCTATGACTGGGTCTTTCATTATATGATGCCATTGTACTTGGCAATGTGATATACAATTAAGGAAATATTTATTTTACAAACTTTATGAAGATATAGAAATAGCTAATATAGTAAATTATTGGATTATACAATTAATATTGTGCTATTAAAGTTCACCAGCTTAGTTTCTCTGCATTCATTATGCTTAACTGTGTACTATAATGCAACTGTCAAAAGTTGTGTATTATTTATATTTCCAATTGCTAGGTTCACGTGTTCGAGAAAAGAGAAAAAAAGTCTATGTATTTGTGGTCACAATTCTTCTAAAAATGGGCCAGACAGAGCACTGCTTGTGTCTTAGGTTACTGATGAAGGCTTTTGATAAAGAAGAGATCCTGCTCACACCATACCTGATGAAGGCTGAATTGGTGATCAGACTTTTTCTGATCTTTGTTTTTGTTTAGTGAGGACTTTTTAAAACGAATCTTTCATTTGGATTCTGAATTAGACAACTTCTGAGACACTGCAGCATTCCACATACATACAAACATCTACCCTGTTAACCTTTATCCTGGTATTATTTACTTACCTTCTCTGCTTTTAAACTGTAATCTCTAGGATCACATTCGAACAGGGAACATTTATAACCTTGGCAGAGAAGGCTGTAATTCTCTAACAGAATCAGATGAGGAGAATGAATCTGGTACTCTTCTAATACTACAGGTATGTTATTTGTTATCTGATGCCTGAATGTGTGTTCTCTTGTGCCAAGATCATAAATACTAGTAGTATGTGAGTTAAAAACATAATGTGTATATAAAGACCATTTAAAAAACATTGGTTTCTTCTTCAGATACAGCACATCTGACTTCTCAAATTCAGCTCTTGGAACATAACGGATAACCAGGATAATTTGTAAGTTACTGAGTAAAGTAGCAAGACATCACCATCTACAAAACAAGAAAAGGTCATCTAACAAGTTCTTACATTGTTCAACATACACCACAGAAGAGGTGCATGTCCTCCCTTCAGGAAGTTTGGGAACAAGTGAATTCATTACGTGGAAGATAACTGCGTAGGATGGCTCTAGTTTTTTTGGCATCTCTTTCTCTGGAAAAATAGCTAAATGTACTCCCTTCAAATTTTCTAAGAAGAACAAATAATACCTCTTTCCTGGCCAAGACATTATTTACCTATTCCAAACAAGAGCACATTTGTACCGCAGAGCTATACATTTCTAAGTATAGATAGGTACATTATGGACAGAATGAAACAGCAAATGTTGCCCCTGCTTCTCAGTACTATAATACAATTTTTGTTGGGTTTTTCATAAGAATACAAAGTGCTCAATTGGTAATACTCCAACTATAAAGTACAGCAAAATCACAATATACAGAAAAAATTCCTTCCCAGAAATCTCTTCATGGACATTTTTCTTTTATGATTTACAAAATGTTATAATCCCTTCAGGATAATAATATATCAGTAACAGTAAAATCAAGGGCTCCTAATTTATTAGGAAAGTCTGTTTAATCATGACAATATAGTCCCATTTTTTAATTTAGAAAAAAATTTGAGCAAGAGTAGGAATAGAGGAAGCAAGTTGCTCTTAGGGTACATAAAAGGACACGTCAAGAAACATTTTCCCTGGCACTTTGGTCTATAGTATCTTTCTCACTAGAAATATCCTTGGAGGAATGTGGGGGTGGGGTGGAAGTGGCGAAGTTTTCAAAAGTGCAGCAATCACTGCTTGATTAAATAAAGTAAGAGCGATAAGAGGTTATTCCACTTAGTTGACATTTCACTGGCTAACATTCAGATAGCTGGCCAAGGGTCTAACATACAGTGAGGAAGTTTAAACATCTAACTGATAATGGCTAGGCGGGTGACTTGGCGTGATTCATTAATCTTCTATTATTTATTTAATAAAATACATAAAACATGTAAATCATACACATTACTGGTCTATGTAACCCTGTGTCCCCTTACTGTTATCCTCATATCCCTTTCCTTGCCCTATCTGTTGAGAGTTAAGCTCACATATTGCATCCTGTATCAACCTGGCTTGAAACACTTTTGGTAGGCGCTGTTTTCATATTATGGGCCCTTCCGATGCCCTTCATCTGATTTTAGTAACACCTAACTTAGTATGGTACCACTGACTTCACTGGTACTGCTCATGGAGTAAAGTAAAGTACTGTTCAACATGAGTAAGGGTGTCAGAATCCAGCTCTCTATCATTATACAAGGCCACAATTGAGCTCTTTGATCCTGAAAGAGGCCTCCAGGTAATACCATAATACAAATGATAATTGATAATTGAGGTATAAAGTCAAGTCACTGGGCCCCGTTCTCCCCTCTTGCACTAGTGAGAATCAGGAGTAACTCCACAGAAGTGAATGGAGCTACACCAGTATAAATACTAGTGTGAGTGGAAAATCAAGTCCATTGTGTTCATACTACAGTAATGCTTCCCGAGGTACACAGGTTTGTGAGGCACCTCACTACCACCTGCACTTAGTGTGAGGAAGCCATGTCTGTGCCTGCCAGGGGTCAGCTCCTTGACTCCACCAGCCAAAGGCAGCACAACCACTCCCCTCTAAGCCTATGCAGGCCCCACTCTCAGAAAAACAAAACAAAAAAACGTATTTTCTCTAAACAGAGGGATGGATGAAGAGTACAGTAAGGACTCAGTGCTGTTAAGAGAATAACTCTGCTTAATATTTTACATCTTTAATCTGAATGTCATTTCATTTACACCAAAATAAATGCTGCTGTTTAACTAGTACTATGTTTTAAGGATGCAAATGTAAATGAAAAACACTATAACAGAGCAGCATAAAAACTTACCTAAAAACTGCAGTACACTACTGAAACCACTGTAAATCCAATCAAATATGAAGGACATATCCGAATCTTAAGGGGTCTGAAAGAAAAAGAGAAATGCATTTAAGCACTATCGGAATATCATATAAAACATCTGTCTGAATTATGAGGAATCCAAAATACTGGATGAAAAAACTAAGAGCAATTAGCATGGATCAGTAGATAGATTCATTTTTTGGTATTCAATTATCAATCACCTGGCACTCAGTTTGATCTGAGCTTTGCTTTATATAGTTTACCCCTGAACACTATGCTGGAGAGCTAAACATTTTGAATGTGTTAAAGAATTATTGTTACAGCAAGGACTGCCAGAATATGATGTACTCAGGTGAAGCAGCCTTGTAAGAGAATGCTATCAGAGTCTAATGAGTAGTTTGTATTCACAGATAATTTATTTATCGGAGTGGAAGTTTAAGCCCAGAAATCTGAGACATCAGTTTTACCCTCATTTCAAAATATATGTTTATCTTTTTTAATGATTTATAAATTAAGGGTCTTTCAGCATTACTGTTAAACACCTTATTTAACAAGATTTATAAACTTGCATTAAAATAACTCCAGGAGTGGCTTGGTGCCCCATAGAGTATACTGCCACATGGTAGATCCAGTTCAATTCTTGATCCCATTCTATTATTCTCACTGCCAACAGGACTTAGGACTATTGCACAGACTGCATACTAAGACACTGAGATGAGGACGGTGCCACGCAGCACTCAACAGCTTCTTCTAGGAGTGAGCTTTCCATATTTTGTAAAAATGTAATAAAATCCTTTTTTTAACTAAATCAGAAAAAGAATAATTTTGCCTTAAATTTCAAAATACAAATGCGCACTTCCGTAGCACCTTTTGCTTCCATTGGAAAATTTCAAAGCACTTTACAAACAATGAATTTAGACTCACAACATCCACATATTTTACAGGTGGGGAAACTAAAGCATGGACAGGCATTAAGTGACTTGTCCAAGGTCACGCAGCAAGTTTGTTGCAGAGATGGGGAAAAGAACCCAGATCGCCATACTGCCAACACTCACCGTTCTTCCTCTGTATTGTGATGGGAAAAAATGGAAGTCTTAACAATGGTAGTACAAATTAATTTATTTTAAAATGGGTCTGTGTAGAAGCACTGAGAGTTATTTAACTGAACATTTCATATGGAATTTTAGAATATAAATTTAAAGGGATAAATACTCTGGATAGGTCAGTGCACTGTCCATCTTATCCTAATCACTAGAGTTGAGTGAATTGACTTTCCAGTATGGTGATTGTACCTGAACCACCAGGCTATAGTATAGTCATTCCCACATTCTATACTATTTGTTGTCATTCATAATGGGACTTTATAAAGACAGACTAGTGAATAGTCATTATGAATTACTATGAATGATGATAAAAATCATTGGGCTAGAAAGAGAGAATTACTCTTTAATTTGATGATTAGGGTACTCACCTAGGATGAAGGAGATCCAAGTTCAAGTCCCTACTCCAGTGACTGTAATTATTTATACAAAGTGAAATAACTTCAATAGGAAAGACTGAAAGAGACATACACCACAATATCCCAAAGCCAAGTAGCTAGGGCATTTTCTTGAGAGGTGGGAGACAGTGAATAGTTTCTGTTCTCCTAACCGTGCATTTCTGGGTGAATTTTCTAGTTGCTGATAATTTTTTGTCCAGCTCCATATCCAAAAGGAAGAAAATAAATATTTTTTCCACTAGAGACTAGCTAATTATGGGGGTGTCTATCTGCTGCTTAAATCAACCATCAAGCTTTAAAGTTACACCCGTGTTCTCAGGGAGAAACACTGGTACATCAGATCATGGAGGCGTACAAATACGTTTTTCTTGGCCAATAAGATACAACTAGAATGGTCCTGGTTTAGACCCTCTTCTCCTGGGAAATAACAACTAAGTGACAGCAAGAAGGCCATATGCCCTAAGTTTGTTCAAAGAGCAGTACCAAGCAGTAGAATCTTATCAAGCAATGCTGCATTTGTGTGATAGAAACCCATTAATGGACAACCCCCAATACAAAAATAGCCTCTCCATGTACCCACTAGTGATGGATGCTGAATGCTCATCTGAGGAAGTCAGCATTCATTTTGCACAGAGCTAGAATGTACATCACTTCTGAAGCAGTATTTGTGATGTACAAATATCACTGCCACTGACTCACTGCTCTGCCATGGGCAACTTGCTTAATCTCTTTAATCTCAAATTTCCCAATCTTTAAAATGGAGATAAGTACTGTATACTTACCTACCCCCGGGGATGTTCCAAATTATTGTTTGGACAACATTTTGCAAGCATAAGGTACTTAGTGCCAAGTATCAATTGCCAAGGCACTCTGGCCATGTCCTCTTTCCTTTGGCAAAGCCTCATCCCACCCCGCCCCTCAGACTAGCTACAGTTTCCAATGCCACCTGAGGATTTTCTAACACTGGTGATCTTCCAGTGGCTGGGTGAAATGGTTTTAGAGACGCTTTGCATCAGTAATATAGTACAAACTGGATGAAGCTCGACACAGGCCAAAACCTACCAACCCACCTTTGTTACAATGATGAGAAAAAAGTAATAGCTTAGAAACTTGAAACAATCAATTACTAGCCCTAGGTGAGAAGAATTTTTCAGTGTTGCCACAAAGGGACAGACCTATCCCAGGAACAGAGCATGAAGAAAAAAAGGAAAGGAATATTTTAATTTGAGTCTTAAAGCAAAGTTTGATCCATCCAGTGCACATTTGCTGTCCCATCCTCCCCAAAATTTAAACGGTTAGGGTTATCCATGAAGAAACCTAGGACTCCTCATTCACATCATGAGTTACTGGAAACAGAGTTGATCAAATAAGACAAAAGAATGACTAAGGAATAAAAAGTACCACATGAACACTAAGTCCCACAACACTATGAATACAACTGTCATTTACATGTCTCAAAAGCAAAGGTCAGGAACAAGCAAACACGGAACATACACGTCAGCAGATTTGTTTATTGCTCAAACAAAATACCAATCAGGAGAAGCCTCTTTGAGGCTTAGAAATATTATCTACTCAAGTAACGTACAAATCAGTGCAAAGGGTGTGATGCAACAGAACTGCTCAAATTACTGAAGTGAAAATAATTTCTTAAAGCCTAGTCACGTTAAACTGAAATGATCCTTTTATGTTTACAAAACTTGTGGACAACAATAAAAAACTCCAAAGATTTTCTTTATGCACTATTAAACTGTAACAACATGCAAGATTTAAATATGCTATTAAAATGAGAAAGGGTTATTCAGCGTATACAGCTGAAATTAGAGCATTAATGGTTAAATCCTTTTAATAAAGTAAAATACAAAATTAGGTTCTCTAGTGCAATGAAAGAATCTTAGATTAGTCAAAAGATTTGTGGTTTTAAAATAGGACGTGTCCAAATAACTCAAAAATATACCAACAAAAATTAACAGTAATAACACCTGACAACACTGAAAATTAAATAATTCTATTAAAGGAAAGATAGCTTGACAGTTATTTTAGAAGGGAACATTGTAATATTTGGATGGGAGTGTTAAATCTACTGTTACCATGCAGAAAACAAACTGCATAATTTTAATCTGAGCTTCAAATCTATTAATTAAATGACTTATCTCTACATTTGATATGAAACGATTATGTTGTAACTAACATGCTGAAGTCTGGCCACTACAAAACAAATAAAACAAGCAAAGGCTTGCTGTACACATCCATTTAAACTGGCATGACAGATCCAAAAGCACCAGAAAAATTTAACATCCATATTCTACAAACCACAAGGAAGCCAAAGGCTGTCTGTCTTAGGGTTCTTTTAAATGATATAGCTTTAATTCTTTTCAAGGCAATTTGAAATCATGGGCTGCTGTTTTTTGGGGAGCCATTGTTTTTGTTTGTTTTTGACTGCAAACAGATTTCAGTTGGTTTGTGACGATCTTTTGGTACTGGCTGTTTCAATAAAAATCACTTTAATTTATTGACCCATGCCCTCCTTAAGAAAACAGAAATAATTTTATTGAATCACAGCAGAATGCCTAACATATGGTTATCACTTCCATGTATGTCTCAACTGTGACTAACATTACATCATCATTACACCCTGAGCTTGATTTTGTAAGTTATATGGAACCTGTCTTAGGCAGTCACTCAACTGATCAACAAAAACTGTTGCTTAGTGGAGGCGATCTTCTACTTAAGGTGAAGTAGAATTGGACACTATAATTTTGGGTAAAGCTTGAACAACTTCTTAAGACGGAAGGTTCCTAATAAGAAAGAGTTATCAAACAGACTCATTGTAATTCTATCATTCCTTACCTGTCAGGAGATAGATCAGAAAAGATTACATTTTCTTTCCCTCTACCACTATAAATTTGTTACAGATAAAAATAAATTCTGTTATGCTTTCCAAGCTGGTTAATATAGTGGTTGTTCTTTTTAATATGGTGTTAAATTTGCAATTTTAAATACGTTTTGTTAGGATAGTGGATTGTGTTCTTTTTTTAAATTTAACATACTATTACTTTACAACACAAAAAGCATAACTAGTAAAAAATTACTAGTTTTATTCAAGTAAAATGCCCTTTGCATAAACTGAAAAGTGCATTCTACGGGGCCTGGAGAGACTGCTAACAAAAGCTTAGTGAATCATGACTATCCAACATGACTGCACTTTAACCAGTGTACTCTGAACTTCAATAATTCCAGGAACACAGTCTTCTAGAAACAACTTGGCAAACAAGTGTTTAAAGTCTACTTTAAGGCTGTACGCAAATTTTATTGCAGATTTGATCTAATTTCATAAAATCTTACCAATGGGGAAAAAAATCAATATCCTTAACAAAACTCCTTATTTGAAGTTATGATATACATCTGCTCTAGTACAGATCATTTAAAAAATAAGGCTGGAATGCATATTTTGGCCCAATAAGTCACCTCAAGAATACCTCTGAGGCAGGGGGAAAGGGAGTCACTTCAAAAATGAAAGAAGTAACAGATTTGTATGCATTTGAATGACTTTCTTGTAAATATTTGTGAAACCTCAAAAATGATTTATATCATCATCAATATAGCTCTGTAACTATGTGCTTCAGTAAACAAAGGAAGATAATGTTGCAGGATGTGCTAAGTTTTTTTTACACTATTTATTTAGGAAATTTTAACAAGTTTACACATCCTTGCCATGTAAATACCAGATACAAAACAATCATTATAATGTTTAGCTTTTGTTTAAAGAGGCATTATATAGGCATATAAATCAACAGATCTTTCTATAATCTTGCACTCTAGGCATAGCATAATTTTTAGCTTTGTTTGAAACAATAAATAAAAAAATAAGACTGTGAAAATGGTGATGCAGCAGTTATGTTAGATCTGAAAGGAAAATAAATACACTATAACTGAAATAATCCAAGTAACAAAACCTGGTTTCAGATCATATTTTGAAAGTAAAAATAGACTTTATGGCCTAGTGTAATAACTCCTTTTCTTACATGAAAAAAAGTTTACCTAGGAATTTGAATAGATATGAACCTTTTTCCTCTTAGCTGCGATAATATATTTTTATTATTTTTACAAACGGAATGTTCCGAACAAATCAATCCAACATGCCACACTAAAACAAGATTCACTGTAGCAGATAAATTCAAAAAGTTTGTAAATTGGAAATGAATACTTACTGATGCTGTATTGAAGACCATCAACATCAAAGAGAAATACAATCCAACACTGAAAAGGAATTGCCAAATAGTACTCTTACAGATTAATACAATCAAGATAAACACAAGGAGTATCTCTATCGTTTAGAAAGCCCTTTCTTTGGAATGCGTTTCCAATAACGAAGAGAAAGGAAAATAAATTCCAGCAAAGACAGGTAGGTAAAGAAAGGGAGAGTAATGAATCATCACTACAGGGATTCTGACTCACAGTTTTCAGAGTCACTTAGCTATTTTGGATGATGTAATGAATTCCAATTCTGTTTACAAAAGGGAGGTGGTCACACACTTCTCAGACAAAATAACTGAAATAATGTGGAGACGTAAGAGTCCACTAAAATGTATTAAATTCAGCAATCTGATGGTCCAACGGAAGTGTAAGAGTCATATTCACATCACCTTCTAATACTCAGAGTTGTTATATCTTAGTGTTTCCAGTAAGAGAGATGCATTTTTTATTATTAGTCTGACAATACCAAACCAAGGCTTGGAAAACATAAATTGCCGCATATCTACTATTTAAAAAAGACTTAAGAAACTCAAGGTATTTTCTTTCAGTAAAGTTTACTTTCAGATTCAACAGGCGGCAAAGCCAAATAGCAGTTGTGTGTGATTACACAATCCTTTGCACTGGGCCTGTCCTTCCAACTGCGCCTGCCTCTTTTTATTTGTATATGTTTCCTAGTCCTTAATAGGTAGGCAATATTTTGTCAAAATTTCTCAGTGCCAAGTAACTCCTTTGAACAGATTGAATGAACATTGTTAACATAATAAAATAAGCAAACAATCTTGCTGGTGTTTTATGAATGAAAACACTTTTATAATAAAATATCCTTTCTTATATAGTCTATCTGATAAAATATCAATATTTTTCATTTTTAAGAGTTGTCATCTCTAGTTCCAACTTTTAAAAAAAAATCTATAAATTTTGTGATATGTTATTTGAATTACTAATATTTTCCCAATAGATTCCTTCTAAAAAAACACTTTCTAGTATGAACCATGCCAGGTGACACGAGCAACTGAGTTCTCATTTCCTAGCTTATGAAATCCTAATAGGAATCTTCCATGCCTGTTGTGCAGTGTTTTTAACAGGGCTTATTGAAAACCATGCCTGAACTCCAATTCATAGGGAGTGACTCCTACTAGATCACTTCTTATTAGGTCAGATTGGAACTACAGTTCCAGTGAACTTGTCCAAAACCCTTATGCCAACAGTACCATTTTAACAGTTTTTCAGTAACAGCTGTATAAATTAAATATTGACAAAATGCTAATGGCTGATATTTAAATGTAGCCCAAATTACTGCAGATACTCAGTTGAGACATATTTTCCTTCCAATCAGGAATAGTTCTCAATACCACTACAAAAGGGATGGCTGAGACCACCTTTCAGCATCGGTTGAAAGCATTTTTGTCCTATCTATGCAAGCAGTTAAGTGTTTTCAACACCAAGTGAAGGAAGACTGACGGGGGAGGAGGATATCAATTTCTGAAAACCATTCGGAATTGGTCATTTCCCTAATGTCGATGGCCCTTATGAGTTTCAAACCACACTAGCTAACGAAAAATAACATGCTAAACCTCAAAATTCTTGTTACTCAGTTCTTTACAAATTTACTTTAATTTTTTTGGGGTGCAAGGACCATGGCTCTTCTATGACATACTCTGTGTGGGTGGGATTATCCAACTCATGGGTCAATAGAGGAAGACAGTCATGACTTGAAATGTGAGTTCACCTGCAAAGAAACATTCACAGAATCCAAGTCTGTAATTGTATAGCACTTAGCATATTGCAGCGATGATCCTGCACAGAGCCCACGGGTGTTACCATCATAACAAATATATTTCATAAGTGCATTGTTAATTATCTGGAAACTACACTGAATCTATATCAAGCAAAATCCTCCTATTACAGATTGTAATAATCATTATATTGGCCACACAGTGCATTTCCCCCCTTTTCAAAAGCCCTGAACATAGAAGGGATACAACACCTTCCTTCTAATGATCTGTCTGTCTTCCCCTGGCTCTAATCTCCAACAGCCCATCACTATGTGTCCCCCATCCCATCATCTGATGTGAGCTTCCATGACAGAAAAGACATCAGTTATGATTTAATCATTTAATTCAATGAGTTATCTACCCAGCATGAGAGGGGTGTTGGAAAATAACATTTTACGAACAACCTATTACTTTAACAGTGTATGTACACACGCATGAACAGAATGAGGGCAGCACGGTCTAGTGGCTGAAGCACAGGCCTAGGAGCCAGGACGTCTACCCACAGCTCCAGCACTAACTCACACTATGACCTAGGGCAAGTCACTTAAGCTATGTCTACATTAGCACTTTTGTCGGTAATGTTTTTGTAGGTCAAGGATGTGAAAAATACACCTCCCTGACCAACATAAGTTTCACTGGGGACAGCACTGTCAGCGGGAGACCATCTCCCACTATCATAGTTACCACCACCCGTTGGGGATGGTTTAATTATCCCGGCAGGAGAGCTCTCTCCCGTCAGCAAAGAACAGCTACACAGGATATCTTACAGCAGCACAACTGCAGCAGTACAGCTGTGCCACTGTAAGGTGTGTAAGGTAGACATAGCCTTAGGCCTGGGAGGGCGGGGGAGGATCAATCTAAGTTACGCAACTTCAGCTACGTGAATAACGTAGCTGAAGTCGACATACTTAGATCGACTTACTGTGGTGTCTTCACTGCGGTGAGTCGACTGCTGCTGCTCCCCCGTCAACTCTGCCTGCGCCTCTCACGGTGCTAGAGTACAGGAGTCGACGGGAGAGCGCTCGGGTCGATTTATCGCATCTAGACTAGACATGATAAATCGACTCCCGCTGGCTCGATCACTACCCTCGGATCTAGCGGGTAGTGAAGACATACCCTTAGTGACTCAGTTTCCTTGTCTTTAAATTGAGGACAATAATAATTATTTACCTACCTAACAGGGATATTGAGTGAATGAACTAGTTAGGCTGTGAGAACTAGACCTAAACACTGCAAGAGAAAGATAGAGTATTATTATTAAAAGGGATCAATGAAGGAAAGAAAAATACAAGATCTAAGGAGAGGAGCATACAGTAGTTTACATGGAGAGAAAAGCTCTGCAGGCAGCTGAGAAAGAAAAAAACATGGTGAGAGGATGAAACCTTGGGGCGACAAGTAGGAGCAGAATAGAAGACGTTGGGGGGCAAGTGGAGGAACCAAGTGGGGGGAGAGAAGAGAATGAAGTGGGGGCAGAAAGGAAGACACTGAGGGCACAAGGGAGTGAAGGGGAAAGAGGGTACAAAGAGGAAAGTATGGGCAGGCAGAGAGGAAAAAAGGAAGACTGAGAGGAAGGTACAGGTTGGGGCATGGAATATAGGCAGGAAGGTGGAGGGAGACAGTGGTTAAGGTACAGATGGGGATGGTGGGGGCAGAGGGGAAGGTATGGAGGGCAGTGGGTATAAAGAGGAGGATAGGGAAACAGAGAAGAAGGGGAGCAGAGGGTCCAGGTGGGGGCAGCAGTTACGGGGGGGCAGCAGGGAAGCTACAAGTGGGGGGAGTGATTACAGAGGGGAAGGTGGGAGGCAGAGTGTACATGCAGGGGCAGTAGATACAGGGGGTAGAAGGGAAGATGGGGGTACAAAGGGGAAGACTGGGGAGCAGCAGGTACAAAGGGGAAGGTGGGGGAGCAGCGGGTCCAGGTGGGGGGGGAGCAGCGGGTACAAAGGGGTTAGGTGGGAGAGCAGCGGGTCCAGGTGGGGGGGCAGTAGGTCCAAAGGGGAAGGTGTGGGGCAGCGGGTCCAAAGGGGAAGGTGGGGGGGCAGCGGGTCCAGGTGGGGGGGCAGCGGGTCCAAAGGGGAAGGTGGTTGGCAGCGGGTACCAAGGCGAAGATATGGGGGGACACAGACGGATCAGACAGCAGGAGACAATGGTGGCGTGGGGGGTGGAGGGCCCGGGCCCAAGCGCATCGCGGCGCCCCCGCCGCTCACTCACCCGCTGGTGCAGAACCTGAGATCCAGGCCGCCCCGCTCCGCCCGGCACCGACACGGACCCTCAGCGCCCTCGGTCCCGCCCCCACCCGCTCCTTCCGGGCCCAGCCGGCCTTGTCACACTCAGCGCGCTCCGCCCGGCGCCGGCTCCTGGAGCTCGGGGGCCGCCCCAGGAGCCCGACTCACCCGCTCCCCTTTCCTTGGAACTGCCCTTACTGCGGTCTGCCTGTCCCTCCCGCACATCCCCAAGGCTAAGCGCTCCTCCCCACAAGCGGGTTGCCTCCTTCCAGTACGGGGAACTTATTCTGTCCCCCCTCCTGCCGCTTCTCGGGGCTGCCCCCAACTTGGATTCAGCCCAGGGGCTGCTTCCCAACCCCCCAGCCCCTCGGGTTCCAACGGGCTGCCCCCCAAACAAACTCCCTAATACTGGGGCCACGCCCCCAGTCACCCTCATTCCATACTCACCCTTTTCTGGGGTTGCCCCTCAGATCACCCCAGTCCAGTACAGAGGCAACCAACCCACCCACCCTAACTCCCCTCCCCAGTGGAGCATCCCACACCCCCAGGCACCAGCCCTGGAATTAGGGTTGCCAACAGTGTATTTAAAAAATAAGGGACTGTTTTCTTAGCCTCTCCACCCCACCTCTCTTCCCCATATTATTATTTATTTACTAATAAGCAGTACTCACCTACATTCACCAGGGGTATTTGTTGCCGCTTTTTGCAACACTCAGCAAACCTGTACAGAGATGAAAAAATAAGGGGCAGTTGGCAACCCTATCTGGGGCTGCCCCCCAACTCATCAAACCAAGTCTGTGTGCTAGCCTCCGAATCACTCCCTGCCCAAAACAGGGGGATTTCCTAACTCACTCTCCCCCCCTTTAGTATTAGGGGGGATGGCTTTCCAAATTCAGCCTCCTGCCTTTCTTCCTCATCACCAGTTGGATCCCCAGTGCAAGAGCTGCAGCCAGGCCCTAAATCAGCCCTCTGTTTTCTTTGCCATGGTTCCTTGTTGAAGAGGTGCTTAGAATTGTATTTTTTTATTTTTAAATTCTTCGCTTACAATACAAAGAAATAATGGAAATGGGCTGCTTTCTTGATGTAAAGGCAATACATACAAATGTCACAAGAAATGTAGCATTTATAGCACAAAAGAGGCTCTTGTGATTAAAACACAGGGCTTGGAGTCGTGAGATATAGGTTATGCTCCTGACTCTGACATACACTCACTGTGTGACTAGGCAAGTCACTTAAATTCTCTGTACCTTAATTTTACCATCTGTCAAACTGGAAAAACACTTCCTTACCTCAGAGGGGTGGTGTGAAATTCAGCTATTAATATTTTAAAGCACCCAGTTGTAAATACAAACTATTTCAGTAGTGCTCCAACTGGGCTTAAGCTTGCAGGATCAAAGTCTATTGTTGTTATAAGGAAAGCTTAATATCCCAAGCTATTGTAAAATGTATGTTTGGTATTGTCACTGATGCCAAGGAAGTAAATGAATTAGTACCTGTGGGAAGAAGAGAAAATTGCGGTGATAATGGTGACTATTTTTCACTTAAGAACTGCTGTAGAGAACTTTTACTCTTCCATAATTTCTTCTACCGATTTTATTAAAAAGTGGCTAGTAATTTTACGTGTCTCGTCCTAAGTTGCTCAAGTTGAATCACTTTAAAGAGGTCTGATTTTCAGATGATGAGTGCTCAGTACTTCAAGGTGTATCAAGTTGGGCACCCAAAAACTGAGATCCCAAAATCACTAGTAACACGCTAAAGTCTTAATATAATTTATCAAAATGTGGACTATGACCAAACCAAAAGCAATTGGCTTTAAAGTCCCAGCACAGTACATGATTCTGCACAGCTTGCCTATGTGTGGCCTCCATGTATGGCCTCCATTGCACTTTACACCTGCTTCTGAGAGAAGTTTGAGTAAATTATCCTTGAAGCAAAGTCATGAGCCAAAAAAAGTCACCTGCAACAGCATTAATAGAAACTATAGCAACTTTTAAGTTTCATTCTTCCTTTTTACACTTACATAGTGTCTTATATAAAAACAAAGAAATGCTGAACAACCCAGAAATATTGTACTTCTTTCTAGCCTTCCACCGGTCCATAAATATCCCTACAGTAAGAACTCTCAGGCTATGCAAGAAGCCATCAAATTAATGCATGTTAAAAAAATCTAATACAAGAAAATCCAGTGTGAATTGCTACATCTTTAGGGCCTGATCTGATTCCCATGTAGTCAATGGAAAGACTCCCATTGATCTAATTTAGAAATGAATTGGACCCTTATACCACTATTTGTAGAATACCATCCTCTCAGTTATACAAAACGTGTTAACAATGAACAACCAATAAATAAATTCGCAATGCTGTTTTTTAGATTATACAGAAACTTTTTTTTTTGTTCAAATGAGGAATTTTTGAAATTCCACCTTTACTGAGTGAGGATTTGTTGGCACTTTTAGTGATTTAAGCATTTCTATGTTTTTTTTATTTTTAATGGCATAAATCCAATAAGTCATGTGATGTGCACGTTGTATAATCACATACTTGTTTTGCTTATATATGCCTCTTTATAAATGCTAATCTCAGGTTTCCTATTAAAAAGTGAACTATTTGTTGGCTGCAATAAGAATGCTGAAATCCTAAACGCCCTTTTTATTCAAGTTGGATAACTGTGATAGAGACCTACTCCAAAGTATTCTGGTTGGAAAGAGTAGACTTTTCAGAGCCAGCATTACAGCATTTGAAGGCTGTTCAGTGACCTGTATGAAATGAGCTGCCAGTAAACAAACGTCTATCCCACAGAACACCAACACAGTTGGCTCCCTAGCCTCATGAGAGAGACTCAGTTAAGGCCTGAATCAGCCACAGAGACTATACTATATTAATTTACTAATTTCCATTCAATCCTTTCAAACATTTATAAATTTATCACTGGAATATACTCCATTATGCAAATCTGAAATGGAACAAGGTTAGTAATTTGATTGTCTGAAGAGTAATTTGATGGCAGTAGAAAATACTAAGAATAAAAAAGTACCAGTATCTTCATTTTGTAACTTGAGGCAGGATTTGAAACAATACGATAAGACAATCATGTAAGAGGAAATTGACACATTTGAATTAATTTGAACACCTTTTTTTAGAAAAGGTGGTTGGAATAGAAGTAGCTCAATCATTAAAAAATATCAGGAGTTAATAGTTTATCTTATATTTAAAACTGTATGAGTATGAAATATTAAGCCAAATTCAGTCCTGAGGTACATGGGATTCTTTTGTTCAGTTGTTTTGGTCCTTTGTTCATCTCTTTTTACATGTTGTTGCTTTATTCTTCTCTATTTGGTGTTGTAATTTTTACTTTATTAATAAAGATTGATGAAATATTGTCTAATTATCTTTTCAAATATTTAAAATTTTATTAATAAATATTTGCATCGGAGTCCCATTGAAATTAACAGGGACTTGCAAAGAAGCATAGGACCACAGGAATAAATCCAATTGCAAGAATAGGACCAGAGATACTTCTCTGAACTTTCACTATGCAAACTTTTATTTTAAATTGCTAATTTTGAATGTTATTGATGGAGGTATGCAGTGTAATTGTATCCATGACGGTCCCAGGATATTAGAGAGACAAGGTGGGAGAGGTAATATCTTTGATTGGACCAATTTCTGTTGTTGAGAGAGACAAGCTTTCGAGCCACACAGAGTTCTTCTTCAGGTCTGCGAAAGGTACTCCAAGTGTCACAGCTAAATGCAAGGTGGAGCAGATTGTTTAGCATAAGTCGTTAGCGCTGTAGGAGGTAAAATAAAGCACTAACAGTTAACTTAATTTTGTATTTTAAACATAGATATCACAGCCTCATGCTATGCACAAAAGTGATGGAAAACACAGTCCTGGGAAGTACTTAGATACTAGAGTGATTGAAATCACCCTAAGAAAGATAGATTTTTGTATTTTTTGTACATTCACAACCCAGATGACGCATTGGTCTGAAGGGAGTGAAAGATGAGGTACCAAGGTCCAGAGTAAATGGGAATGAAAGTTAAGCATGTGTGTAAGTACTTGCATGATCAGGACTTAAACTGGTATGCCGGATTTCTACAATCATAATTTAATCCTTTCAAAGGTTCTTTAAAGAGCTGGTAATATTTTAAGGAATTTTTTTTAAATATTCTCTTTATAACAATACTGTCAGTATTATTTCATATTTCTTTTTTCACTATTTGTATTATTAGTAGGAAGAATATTTGGTTGAAAATCTAGTATTTAGTGTTTCTAAATTCTTCTGCTCCTGTTGCTTATTCCCACTGGGTTAATTAAATTTCAGAGATTGTTCCCCTCCAGGCTAACATTCTAAATTGTTTACTTTTATGTCAGGATGTTATGCCCAGGGCCTAAACCCCAATCCAGCAAGGAGCTCCATGCAGTTGGACCCCTGCTCCTGTTTAGAGCCCTCTTGAGATCCACTTGCGTGCTGCTCCTTGCAGGATCGGGACTCTGCTTTACAAACTTTCTCAAGAATCTTGCCTCCCCTACACCCCAGGATTCTAATAGGTAGGTGGGTGGTGTTCTTCCTTCTGAGTTAGAATTGCTGCCATAGGTGCTGGAACCAGAGGTGTGGAGGGTGCTGCAGCACCCGATGGCTTGAAGGGATTTCCATTATATAGAGTTTGGTTCAATGGTTCTGAGCATCCCGACTATAAAAATTGTTGCAGCACCTCTGATTCCTGCACCAAAATTTATGGCATTTATGTTGTGGGAATTTAAGTGGAATCTTTTTGCATGTAAAACAGAAGCGGTCTCGTGTTTCTTATAAACCCTGGGTCACTTTGCAGAAGAGAAGAAGTCCCTGTTGATGTCACCGAGAGTTTTGCCATTGACTTCAACTTGAACAGGATCACGCACAAAAGAACTCTGCTGTCATGTTAGAGTCATTACATTCTGCATCCCTAATATTCCTTCCTCTTCACCCCTTTTCCCAGCCCTGTTTCAGCTGGATGCCCTCTTTTTCTCGCCTAAACTATTGTGCAGTACGTCGTCTGCCTGGCTACTGGGCTCGAGGATTTTTCAAGAAAAAATGATACTGTATTGGTGCTC